CTGAAGGGTTATGTTGCCTGCCCAAACGTATATGTTGAAATCTTAACCCACCATGTGATGGTCATCGGAGGTGGCCTTTGGGAGGTGATTAGGTCGTGAGGGTGGAACCCTCACAAATGGGATTCGGGCCCTTATGAAAGAGACCCTAGAGAGCTCCCTTGCTGCTTCCACCCTGTGAGGACACAGTGAGAAGACGGCTGTCCATGAACCAGAAATGCCACCCCACCCCCACCCTGCCAGACACCAAATCTGCCTGTGCTTTGATCTTGGAATTCCAGCCTCCAGAACCATGAGGAATAAATTGCTGTTTATAAGCCACTTAATCTACAGTATTTTTGTCACAGCAGCCTGAGTGGACTCAGACAACAGGGTGCTATGATGAGCACTGTTTACAAAGGAAAAAGCTGAGTCTGTGCAGGAAGTAGGTGGCAGGAGTCCCCGAGCTGGCTGGATAATGGCAGTTCCTAACCACTGGGCCCTCCTGCTGCCTCCTCAGTGTCTGAGCCTCTCAGGTGTGCGGCTCGGTAGCTGTGCGCTTGTGAGCAAAGGCCCCTCGTTATCCCGAGGGACGCAGGGGATTCTGAGATGAATGCTGTGTGTCCCTGGGGTCCTTCAACTCACAAGCAAGGAAAAACCTAGGATTGGGAAACATTTGGGGAGGATCTTGCTTAGCTCAAACTCTGTCTCTGGAAGAAGATGCCCCTTCTACACTCGAGGTGACAACTGCACGAACACCCACAACCATTAGAGGGCCCCTGGCTGGCTGCAGATTTAAAGTGGCTTCAACAACAGCAGATCTGCTTCATGTAAACTGCTGGGGAGCAGCGAGGAGAGCACAGTCAACGCTATTCATGTTCTGGATGATGCTGTGGAACATGCTTCGATGTGAACATTGGATTGAAAGAGTAAAATCATTCAATACAAGTCCACGGATAATGCCAAACATCCACGTCCGATTATTTGGAACATACAGACTGGTATAGAGAAAAACATTTGAGAGTATTCATCTCGCAGGGAGAAGCCGAGCAGGACCCCTGTGGGGCCCTCCCAAGTACCAAAGCCTTTCTGAGCCCCCCTCCCCTTTCTTGTTGGTAGGACGAAGGTTTCAGCCTCTCAGTTCTTCCCTGCGCTCCAAAGGGCAGATTCCAACAATTACTAACGATAGTGAGGGAATGCAGAAACAAAGGACAGTCAAGAAGCAATAGGATGGCAGGAGGGTATAGCTCAGGGGTAGCGTGCTTGCCTAGCGAGGTGCTTGGTTCAAACCCCAGTCCCACCATTTAAATAAATAAACAAAACCTAACTACCGCCCCCCTCCCACACAAAAACTGTGTGTCGATTTTACCTCAATAAAACTGGAAGGAAAAAAAAATTCAATAAGGCCTGGACCTAGCAATCTGACACAGATCTCTGAGTTCTTCCCCAGGGACTAGGGCCCACCCAGGTGGAGGGGGGTGACTTCAGGCTGAGCACAAGCATGTATTCCCCAGCCTGGTTGGAACCAGAAGGCTGGTGATTGAGATTCCTGGACCACCACTCTGTCACCTCCCCACCAATCAGAGGAAGGCCACATACTCTGTAGACACCGGCCCCCACTCCCTGCCTGATTTTGCCTATAAATACTCTTCCTGGAAACCCATCAGGGAGTTTGGGTCTTTTGAGCACAAGCCATCCATTCTCCTTGCTCAGCCCTGCAATAAACCTTTCCCTGCTCCCAACTCCCATGTTTCAGTGTGTTTGGCTTCCCTGTGCTTCAGGCATGTGAACTTGGGTTCGACAACATTTTGAGGTAGGTTTTTGCCCTCCATGCTGTAAATATATTTATAATCAGTATGATTATACCTTATGGTTTTACGGTTTGGCTTGCTTTCTGCCTTTTATTAGGAAATTCTTGTTTTGACACTAACTAAGTCTTAAGAACCATCATTTTGAATGGCCACATACTGTTTGATCATACGGATACATCATATTTATTTAACAAGTCCTCTCATATTGACATTTAAAGTGTTTCTCATTTTTTGCCATTATGCTTAATCGTGGGATAATCATCTTTGTATGCACCTGTCTGACCTTCCCTTTATTCCCGAAGGATTGATCACTAGGAGACAGCAAGAATATTGGTTGTATGATGTTATTGCATCATTATTTGTAATAGCCAGTAAAGTCAACCTAAACGTTTATTTATCAGAGAATGGCTGGATAAGCCATGTCCAGACTTAATATAAAGTAATGTGCAGTCATTCAAAATAGTAAGTTAAAACTTCCCCTCTGGGCACAAAAAGATGTCTTAGCATCTATGTGAATTTAAAAACCAGTTAAAAGCTATGTGCAAACTGGCGCCACTAAGAGACACTCCATATCTGTGGACACGTACACCGCACAAGGAAAACACACGAGTGTGTGGATATGTGTGTGCTTGTGTATGCATAGACTATCTGTCACCATGTCTTTAGCTACAAGCTGCAGAGAACTAAACCCGACCAACAGTGAGCACACCTACGAGGATATTAATTATGTCACCAACAGAGGTTCCAGAAAATTGGCAGCCCTGTTTCTCAGCAACTCTCTGAGGCTCTTCCCACCTTTCTGTTCCACCATCTTCAGTCCAACAGACTTCCATCCTGAGGACTCCCTTCCTGGCACCCAGATGACCATGGCGGCTCCAACCATCAACACCACATCCAAAGGCAAGAAGCAGGTGGTAGTCAGTACAGCAAAACATGAGCTTCTTATGTGATTTCTCCTTTTAAACTGGGGGAAAATCTGCCTAGACTTTCCATGGACTTCTTGATGATATGCCTTATCAGCCAGAACTGATAAGGATCCGCATCCCCAGTAGGAAGGGAGCTGTGATCTTGAGGTTTTCAAGGTGGTTATGGAAGGAAGAGAAAGAAAGGAAGAGGCCAGGATGGCTTTGGGGTATACAACTGACAAACCTGCCTACAAAATAAATACATAAATTAATTAAAAGCCTGGTTGAATAGGCACCAAACTACTTCTTTACCTACCCTTGGATACTGGAGTCTATATGAAGATTAAAGAATTTTCCCTAATAATTAACAGAATTGACTAGGTTACCCTGTATATAACAGATGTAAACTACTTTTACAATTTCTCTGGCAAAAGGAAAGGAAAGAACATGGTATTCCTAGTGGCAGTTATGATGACAAATGGTCACGGTAGGGGGCAAAAAAAATCAGATTTTTATCAAGTTGAAAAAAAGCCTGTCCGGGAAGTCTCCCTCTTGAAAGCCCATTCATTCAGAAAACTATAGCAGTGGCAGAAAGCAGTGGCTGCCAATGATGAATTTAAAGCTGGGCATATGTGTGTGTGTGCATGTATGCATGAATGTACTAGGAATATATAGCTTTACATCTATATTTATCTAACTATCTCTATAAAACAAAATGATCCTCAGTGCCATTAATCATCAGGGAAACACAAATCAAAACTACAATGATATCCTAGCTCACACCCACCAGAATGGCTTTCATCCGAAAGACAGACAATAACAAATGTTGGTGAGGATGTGGAGAAATTGGAAGCCTTAGATATTGTGGCTGAGAATGTAAAATGGTGCAGCCACTTTGGAAAACGGCTTGGCAGTTCTTCAAAATGTTAAACATAGAGTTAGTATGGGACTCAGAGAATTCCACTGCTGGGTAAATATCCAAGATAAATGAATGTATGTCCACAGAAGCACTTGGACATAAATGTTCATAGACCATTACTCAGAACAGTGAAAAGGTGGAAATCCAAAGGTCCGTCAGCTGATAAATGAACAAACAAAATATGGTATATTCAAATAATGGAATATTATATGGCTGCCAAAAAGGACTAAATTTCTGATATATGCTATAATATGGAACCTTGAAAACAATATGTTAAGTGAAAGAAGTTAGACACAAAAGACCACATATTGTATTAATCCATTTATTAAAAAAATACCTAGAATGGGCAAATTAATACAGACATAAAGTAGAAATGCTGGTCATTTAGGACTCGGGGGTGGAGTAGGGTGGGAAGGGGTAGGGATTGAGTACTAATGAGTACAGGGTTTTATTCTGGGGTGATGAAAATATCCTTATGATTTACTTATTATTATACTTATTTACTTATTATATAGCTTAGATTATGTGGATATTTGCCCAACTCTGTGAATATAATGAAAAGCACTGAATTGTACACTTTAAATGGTGGATTCTGTGGCATATAAACACCACATGGTATGAGAATCTCAAGAAATATGTTTAAAAAAAGTTCAAAGATTTGTGTGTATGGGTACCTGGATTTGCACAGTGCACAACCTGACCACACTTACTTAATAGTCCTAGCCCTTTCATGTTGGCCTGAACAGTTTAAAAGATGAATTAGTACCTATAATTAGAAACTAGGAAGATTTCATGTTAAAAAAACTAGATATTGGGCTTTTTTTTTTTAAAAAATCAGAATATCTGGCCCTAGGTCCTTCATCCTTACACGTCCACAGACTAATAGAGCTGAGTAGCTTTGTCAGCTGGTACATTTACTGTCCAGTTTGCCACAGACCCCACCACTCCCTTTTATACCCTAACCTAAAATTAACAGTCCACTGCCATTTACAATCACATGTGTACTCCTATTTTTCTTGTGAAATTGTTAAGAACTAGTGAAATGTTTGATCTGGGCTGCTTCCCCAAGGCCCCATATCTGGCTGTATGGATTGTTCTTGTGAATCCTGAATGCCACGTTTCCTCCTTCATTTACCAGGACCCAAAAATGTTTATTTGCTGATTGTACCTTCCCGGGCACTTTATCCTCTCACTAGACAAAGGATCTGTCTGTATCTGTTCTTGATAAGGTCCTGTCATTCCTTATGAATTGCTTCTCCACTTCAATATGATGAGGACGCGTTCCGTGGATACAGATCAACTCAAGTGCCCTCAAACAGTCTTATGCTCCCTGGGTAGTTAATAAATATTCAATCCAAGCTGTAACATTGGAGGAGGGAGGCTGCAGTCCTCCACTGTGCAAGACAGATCGGAAATGCTAAATTAGACAAAAGCAGTGGGGTAGGGTGGGGTCTGCGATCCCAGTAAAAGCTAGGCAGTGGGAGAAAAACAGCCTATAAACGTTCCCTAAATTTCAATCATTCATGGACTGCCTTCCCTGTGCTGCCAAAGCAGTGGTCCTCATCTAAAATCTGACATATGCTCACACCACCTGCC